CGACATGTAATACTATAAATACTAATAAAACAAACGGGGCGGGGCACTTTGAGAGGGGCGAGAGACGTCCTAGGGAGTTTTGGTATAAAATTACATTGCATAAGCTCAAAATCTTCTTCAAATATCCCCCGGAAATGATAGTGTTACACACAGACAGAATGTATAAATTTACGCCCTTGAACTTTGACCTTTTGACCTCAAAATCAATAGGGATCTTCTTTAGGCCACAGGGAGTTGTTATGTAAAATTTCATTGCAATAGCTCAAATGGTTCTAGAGATATCGTGTGGAAACGAAAGTGTTTTAACAGACAGAATTTGCTTATTTATGACCTTGACCTTTGACCTTTTGACCTCAAAATCAATAGGGGTCTTCTTTAGTCCATAGGGAGTTGCAATACTAAATTTCATTGCAAAAGCTCAAAGGGTTCTCGAGATATCGTGTGGAAACGAAAGCGTTACAGACAGACAGAAAGACGGACGGACGGACGGACGGACGGACAGACGGACGGACGGACGGACGGACGGACGGACGGACGGACAAACCCAAATTAATATCCCCCACTTTTCAAGCGGGGGACAAAAAATGTTAGCCTCAAATACATGCAATAATTATATATGTCATCTCATTCATATTGAATAAATAGAACAAGGGACTAACCATTTCTAGGCGTGCACAATTAATTCATGAATTTCAGGGCCTCACTGTCTGCAGATTGTTGTCATCTTAAAAAAAAAAAACACTATACAAATGGACACGCCAAAGTGTCAGTCACATTATCCAGCGATGGGGTATACAATGAGAAACCGATGCGTTTTTTGATAAAAAGACGTGGTTGCGGACACCTATAATAATCAGTCGGTGACTGAGGCCATTTGCCGAATCGGTGGGGATCATCGGTAGAGAAAAAGTTGTTGTTTTAAAAAATCAGTAATGTCTCTACCAATTATGGAATGCCGTAACTGCCTTATGTGGAGAACTTTCATTATATGCTGGTACTTTGTCATTATATGATGATATTTCGTCATTATATGATGGTATTTTATAATTATATGATGGTATTTTATCATTATATGATGGTATTTTGTCATTATATGGTGGTATTTTATTATTATATGATGGTATTTTATCATTATATGATGGTATTTTGTCATTATACTACTTTTCATTATACTACTTTTCATTATACTACTTTTCTTTATACTACTTTTCATTATACTACTTTTCTTTATACTACTTTTCATTATACTACTTTTATTATATGCTACTACTTTTTCGTCATTATTTGTAGTCTCGATCATCCAGACGCTTGTCTATACCACAAATTCGCTGTTCCTAGACTGGCAGTACGAAATCGAGGATCAGACAGGCAAGCCAGTCTAGGTATCGTAACAGTATTTCACTTGGGGTCACGTCAAATCATGGCTGACGCAAAATAATCGCGGAATCTTCCCTTCTGATTCGAGCATTATGATACAAAATGAGCTGAATTTTTTTTATGAGATGAAAAACAACATGTAAACTTCCTGTATTGACCAGATTTATTAAAATTTAGTGCGTGCTGATTTTTCTATATACTATCAAGAGTGGGGAGTGATTAGGCCCTGGACTAGATTTTCAAACACCTGTAGTATAATGAAAAGTAGTATGACAAAATACCATCATATAATGACAAAATACCATCATATGATGGCAAAATACCATCATATAATGACATAACACCATCATATAATGATAAAATACCATCATATAATGACAAAATACCATCATATAATGACAATATACCATCATATAATGATATAATACCATCATATAATGATAAAATACCATCATATAATGACAAAATACCATCATATAATGACAAAATACCAGCATATAATGACAAAATACCATCATATAATGACAAAGTACCATCATATAATGACGAAATACCATCATATAATGACAAAGTACCAGCATATAATAAAAGTTCTTCACATAAGGCAGTGACGGCGTTCCATACCAATGCCCCACATCGCTCCTCATCGGCAACCCATCATTAACACACCTTTCAAGGATTGGCCGAACATCGTCAAGTGTCCGTTGAATCTGAGGTCATCGGGGGTTGAATAGTGGGCAAAAGACATCAGCCGATCATGCCTTAGTCACATTTCCCGGCCGGTGGCCGAAGACCGGTGGTAATCGGTGGTAAAGTATCAGTCACATTATCCAGCGATGGGTTATACAAAGAGAAACCGATGCGTTTTTTTTCATAAAAATGGCGTGGTTGTCGGCCGGACACCTATAGTAATCGGACGGTGATTGAGACCATTTGGAGAATCGATTAGGGTCATCGGTAGAAAATAAGCTGTAGTTAAAAAATCAGGGACGACTACACCGATGCCCCACATTGCTCCTCATCGGCAACCCATCCTTAACACATCTTTCAAGGATTGGCCGATGTATGCCCTAGCATCGCCAAATGTCCGTTGAATCTGAGGCCATCGGGGGGGGGGGGGGGGGGTAACCAAACATTGGCCCAAAGTCGACCGACCTACGAACGATGTTCACCAATGTATGAGCGATGTAATATAACCGGCCGATTACCCTGGAACATCGTTTTATGATTAGCAATGCATCGCTGGGCCTCTGTAAGTACGGTCGCAACCACGCCATTTTTATTAAAAAAAACGCATTGGTTGTCCATCGTTTACCCCATCGCTGCATAATGTGACTGAAAATTTAAGGACTACAAGGCCGCTGTGGACCGATGTTGGGGCATCGCTCACATCACGGATTAACACCGATTACCGCCGGTCTACGGCCACTGGCCGGGAAATGTGACTAAGGCCTTATCCGTGGTGTGAGCGATGCCCAAACATCGGTGAACATCGGCCAATCTTTGAAAGATGTGTTAATGATGGGTTGCCGATGAGGAGCAATGTGGGGCATCGGTGTAGTCGTCGCTGATTTTTTAACAACAACTTATTTTCTACCGATGACCCCAATCGATTCTCCAAATGGTCTCAGTCACCGTCCGATTACGATAGGTGTCCGGCTGGCAAACACGTCATTTCTATCAAATGCTTCGGTTTCTCATCTATACCCCATCGCTGGATAATGTGACTGATACTTAAGGCTTAATGTGGCTCTTAAAATCAAACATCTTTTAAGCTTCATATTTTATATCTTAAACTCAAGAACTGAACTAATTAATGAAGAGGTCCCACATGAAATGCAACATATAGCTGAAACTTTCTTTACAAATCCACTGATATAATCTATACCAATGCTGTACATAATATTCCTTGATATTTTCAACTAATCTGACATCATTATCTTACTCATAACCCTGGATGTTTATGAATCACTTTTCAGAGACGATGTTTTCATGCGAATATACTTCGATGTGAAAAAAACCCAGATTCACACAGAGTAACTGGTAGAGTTGCGATTGTCACAAAGAAATCTAAGCACATCTTTTTGAAGAACAGTTCTGGCGCTTATTTACAGGTCATTGCTGTCTCTGTTAACATGTTTGATGGTTAGATGTACACTAATGCTATTTGCAAATCCTAGTATACCGGGAACAATGTTAAAGGAACCATTTTAAAACTTTTGAATTTTCTACTAGATTTTATTGACACACAAGATTGTTAGATCAATGTCATCAATGAATTCCACTCCAGAGAAGACTACTCAATTTACATCATATATATGGGGGTAAAACACAGGGTGAATTAGTGCCGTTCAACCGACCAAATGGTCACTGGTGAACAGAGCTGTTCATTCACCTTTCAGTAGACTTTCAGTGACCTTTCAGATAACTTGATGGCAGATTTTCATCCTTTGCAGGATTCAAGCTAAAACGCAAGGACCAAGAAAAAAAGAGCTGGCGCATGTTCTGATCATCCAGCTATATTGCAAAAAAGAGTATATACAGATATCAGAACAATACGGAAGCCCATTTATGACCTATCAAAAATATTTTTGAATTCGTTATAACAATTTTTAGAATTCGTTATAACGAATTTAATTTGTTATAACAGATTTTGAGAATTCGTTATAACGAATTTAATTTGTTATAACAGATTCATTGAATTCGTTATAACGAATTTAATTTGTTATTACAGATTCATTGAATTCGTTATAACGAATTTAATTTGTTATTACACATTTATTGAATTCGTTATACCGAATTTAATCTGTTATTACAGATTTGTTGAATTCGTTATACCGAATTTAATCTGTTATTACAGATTTGTTGAATTCGTTATAATCAATTCAAGAATTTGGTTAAAACGAATTCAATAAATCTGTAATAACAGATTAAATTCGTTTTAATGAATTCAATAAATCTGTAATAACAAATTAAATTCGTTATAACGAATTCAATGAATCTGTAATAACAAATTAAATTCGTTATAACGAATTCAATGAATCTGTTATAACAAATTAAATTCGTTATAACGAATTCTGAAAATCAGTTATAACAAATTAAATTCGTTATAACGAATTCTGAAAATTTGTTATAACAAATTAAATTCGTTATAACGAATTCTAAAAATCGTTATAACGAATTCAAAAATATTTTTTGATAGGTCCTAAATGGGCTTCCGTAGAACAAGCAGCTGTGACAATGATTTTGTATCATGCGATATACAGACATTATTAGACGTGAGTTTTTAAAAGTATGCAAACTCACTTCTTTACTCAGTTGTGAGAAGACTTTTCTTTGGGTACCAATATGTTTGACCTCATGACGTTGACTTTGGAAATTTACGTACGTTTAGAATCCTTGCCATGGATGCATTTTTTTTTACAAACGTAGCCTGACAAAAAAAAAATTAGATGTAAAAACGGACATAAGTCAACTGATCCATAATACACAAATACGTATATAATGAAACAAATTTCATTATTTAATTTAGAGAAGATAAGAAGTAATAGTATTTTTATTGCATGAATGAGATTTTTTAACTATTTTAAAATCACAATTTTTATCAAAAGACACTGAATAAATCTTGAAATTGCTTCAAACCTACAGTTAGGCTCTAAGTTTATCGACCAGCTTCTTGAATTCCTTGTCACGCGTTTTCTCATCTGAGAGGTCACATGACGTGATGTTCGAGAGAGTTAGCGGCACCTCTGCGTCCTTATCCAGAAGAACTGGCAGTATGTCTAACTTCCGCACATCTTCAAACAAGTGAAAGTATTTAAGATTAACTATATTCTAGTAATAATCTCTTTAATTAACTCTCCAAAATCAAAGAGTAAGGGTGTTAGTCAAATTGTAATAATTATAATGGGCGACTTACTGTAAGCAACATGCAGTGCATACTTCAGTACAAACTCACACTTTTCACAATCCATGTAATGCGTTGAAATGAGTATAACTACTTTCTTGCATTTCCTATTAACAATTTGTAAAAAAAAAATAGAGGTTTTCACTTGTTTTTCTCATTAACAAATTAACTAAATCTTGTGTGATGTTGACAAACGACATTATAGACTATGCTATTAATTTAGGGAAGTTAGAATTAAGTTAAATCATAATATACAATCTTCAAAGTACTTCTCTATGGTATCTGCGATCTCCTCGTAGAAATATCCTCCGACCTGTAAGTCCCTATCGGGGATATAAAATCTGAGATTGTAGTCATCTTCCAGGCGAGGAAAGGTTTTCCTAACGTAGCTTACGACTTTTTCGTCATAAGACAAAAAAGCATCGTATTCATAACTCTCAGAACACTGCAGACTTTGGATACCTGTTCATTTTTCAAGAACTTTTTATTCACACTTAACGTAAATGTTATTTTTTTGTATATACATGTATGAATAATGAAATTCATTTTGTATATTGATATACTTGCCAGTCTTAAACGTGTTGTCACGAAAAATAGACTTGTAAAAATAAAACAGCCAGTCATGAACCGTTGAGAATATTTCGGAAACTGAGCCGGCTTTGATTGATGTAGCTGTTGAATCCGACTTCTTTTGCAGCTGACTTAATTCTGTTTTTAAACCTTGCAAATCCAAGTCCGATGTTTCATCTGAACATTTGTTCTGTTCACTATTTAAACCAAAAAAAAAAAAGAAAAAAAGAATTAAACGGTTTCATGCATTCATATAGAGCTGTAGATGTTTTAAATAATTTCAGACTAGGCCGGGTAGAAACAATCATATTGTACCTCTACCTTTCAATTTTAGTTGCAGGGGAACGCAAAATGAACCCCAAGCGCTTGAGGGAATTTCCTAAGTTGTCTTCCACTGTCATATCGCAGACTGAAAGAGGGCGTAATATGTTGGGCATATTTACATTTCTTTGCATAGACACAGGAACAACTTTTCCACATGCGCCACCTACATGTTTAAATAAAAAAAACCGACATGGACGGAAAAAATTAATTAAAATCCATTATAAAGCAATGAAAAGCCTGTGGTACCTGGAGACAGAGAATGTGCAATCCTGAATGTAAACCTGCTTGCGCCGACATTGTGGAAGTCGGCAGATAGCAATACCATCACTCTTCTGCATCTTAATTGAAAAAGATACGCCGTGGATAAGTTATGAATTATTAGTTTTTAATCATGAGTTGTGATAATTTGCTGTAAAAGACGTAAAAATGAGAACACTTCACGTGAAATTTTAATTCAGACGAACCTAAAGTTGTATATATTTTTGAACGAGAATATATTCAAAAGAAAAAACCCATAATGCTAATGCATTTATTTCTATTTTATGATCGATGTTCATCCTACCTTTTGTGGATAAGATGTGCACGACAAGTCAACTCAGAGCTTCCGGGTAAACTATCGCGGAATGGCACGAAACATTTTACATTGCAATACGTTTCAAGTAACGTCACCAATTCTTGTACAACTCTTGCTCCATCTTCAAGATCGGCACTCGGAGATACAAACACGTCAAATTTCTGTGGTGCATTTCTTTCCACTATAAAACATAAAATTGTAATCTAAATGGATTATCTGACAGAGTCTCTGATGAGACTGTATCTCTTTTGGGTACTTGAGCATTATGTTTTTTAATCAGGTAAGTAGAATATCATACGCTGAGCTAGCAGGGAATGGCCGGGGAGGGGCGGGGGACCTCGCCCTCGCTCGATCATCTTAACAAAAAACTATTGTTTAGTAATTACCATAGTTAACTATGGTTTACTAAGGTATAAAATTTTTTTTTTACTATAGTAAATCAAAGTTTTTTACTATGAATATTAGATTTTTATATATTTTTTTTTAAATTCGTAAATGCACATTTGTTTTTATATCAAATGACACTTTATTTGGAATATTCAAATATTATTTCCAAATTTTACATTGCTGTTATCAACTAGAGGATGTTAAGCTGTGAAATCTAAAAAAAAAGTGCTAGAGGAAGAAGTTTTGAGGTAAACCACAGTATCAAAGTTTTTTGCTATAGTTAACAATAGTAAACTATAATTAACAATAGATAATTATAGGAAACTATAGTTAACTATAATAAAATTTTGTTAAGGCGTTTTTCAAAGTTCCATAATGTAAGGTAAAAATATGACTGTGCACCCCCTGGAAAACACATATCTTTTGAACTAGTATTTGGAAAAGAGAACACTGCTAGAATGAAGTGAAATTTGAAATCATGATGATGACACAATGCCTCTGAAATCACAATGACATCTTCAGTCTATGGATTGATTAAAGGAAATCAAAATTGGCGGCAAAATTTGGAATTTTTTCGGACTAAGATAGTTATGTTCCTAACTTTATGTAGGAAACATTTTAACAGAAGTATTATATTTTGCTCATGCAATAATCTCAGAATGGTTGTTAATAAATAATGTTAACAAAATAAGAATAAACTTACCATCCCCAACGCTAAGAATTGCACTTTCGTCAAGTCTGCCCCCTTTAGTTTTACCATTTGTCTCTGAAGAAACAAAGACTCAAAAATTAAGTGCATTTTTAAGGAGTTCTATTCAACTTTAAAAACTGTAACAATAGCGTTACAACTATCCTTCCATCCTTTCCACAAAACTAAGTCAATTATAGTTTTATTATTCTATGGGAGTCATTATTCGTCTTTACACTGGAGACAATATGTATTCCGATGGTCAACAATGTGCAATGAGGGTAGGCACATATTGTTGCCAACCACAGTATGTACAAAACGACAATATGTACCGTCACAAGTTGTTTATTTCAAGATCAGTCGACATATGAATGAAAGTATCTACAATGCCTTTTGTTAATTGATAAAACGTCGTCGATATTATCTGATTGTGTAGTTGAAGGCCTTGGCATGGGTTTTCTTCTCTCATAGAAGTTTTTGGACATATTCTTCTTCATAAGAATATAAAAACCAGGGGGCTAATAAAGGATTCTAATAAGTATCCAATAGAATCCAACAGTTTGCTAGAAAACTTGGCCTCTGAAGACTACATAAATGTCAATGAGGATCTCCGGCGTCCTCTAAATACCGAGTGACCTTTAATGATATAATTTTTGTTGATGATCATGATCTTTATGAGATGTGAAAATATGAAAATCTCCATATTCTATCTTAATTAAAAGAGCAGTATCAAAAAAGACTTATTTTTAAGTTATGGTTAGGAATGGTAGTATCAAGTGGAGTAAAGTAAGTTTTCATGTTAATGACTTTTGAAAAAAGCTGTTGATTTTCATTTTATTTAAAGTTCTTTGGAATTTTGAGAATTCACATCTCATTTACACCAGTTCTAGAATATGCAGTAAAACAGTACGTCTGAAGTTTTTCCTTAAAACAGTTTATATATTTGTAAGGAGTAAAGATGGGGGCTGAGTAAAAAAAAAAACAACAACTTATGTGGACCCTATAATGGGCTAAGTTTGTTTTTAAAATGAACTTTATGATTTAAGTATATAGGCAATGTAGATCGGACTCTTGAAGGTTTTATCAGTTAACATAGAAAAGCCTAAAGAAAATAAACACTTCTCGAGGTCAAATAACGACAGGTACATAGAGATCTTTTTTGAAGAGCTTTAAACCTAATATTTAGTATTAAAATATTCGTCTAGTTTATCTTTCTTTTATAATTCTTACCTTTTATTCTCCTATCCCCTGACATTCTACAAAATAGAAATTGTGTGTGCCATTTAATACTATGTACTTGGAGTTTAGGGCATTTTTCTCTTAAAGCTTTATTCTTTTATCCAAGTCAATAGTAGTATTCTCTATCCTTCCATGTTTGTAATTTATTATATTTCTTCAGCATCATCATTCATTAATCTTCTTCTTGAATATTTTCTTTATATAGTTAATCATTAAATTTTAATGCCGGTTTCTAGAGTGATTAATTTCAAGCAACATATACAATTTCATAGATTGAAAAAGAAAACATCTGAAACTGCTTGAACTCAGAAAATTGTAGGTAGGAAATACAGCATTCAGAATGTTTATCCTGAGAAAGATGGAAGCTAACATGGACTTGACGACTCTCGATCAGATTTTTCTTTCCCAGGATTGACAGTTGTTAGCCTTTCTCTTAAATAGTACACAAAGCATGGTTAATATATCCATTAGCTTTGTTATTGAGAAAGATGGAACTTAAAAAAAAAAAAAAAAACAATTTTTACTTAAAAAAAAAGATGTGAATATTTCCATTACCATGACAAAAAAATAATGATAAAGTAAATTGTAAATAGCTAGATATTACCTTAATCAGTCCAGGTGATAGTTTCAGTAGTAAAAGTAAAGAAAGCGATGTGAAGTCCGAGTGGAATTCCTATGAAGGTGCATTATTTAAAGCCTTTGGGTCAATTTTAATCTCTAAATTTAAACACGCACCCAGGAAGTTAAATTTCTTTATATTACTGTAAAATTGAAAAGGGGTTTTTATATTTTTTTTTCAGTTATATGTTACCTTGGTTTTTGCTAGCTATCTTGTTATGTTTGTTGTTGAACAAATTACAGCCAGGTGCTCACTTCTTGAAACGGAGATTTGGAACTCATTGTTAATGCAGTTTTTGCACTACGATCTTTAAGAAATACAGTTCTTCATAAAAGGATAGGAAAGTAAGCAAATGCTTTATATATTACAAGAAAGCATGCAATTTTATATAAGTAGCGGGGCAAATTAAGTTACATAGGATCTGAATAGATTATTGAGATTGAGTACTTGTAAATTTGAATTGATGGTTGAGGTTGAAAAAATCACACCGTGAAAAATCAAATGGAATGCAAAATTCGACGGTATTCTTCCGAAATGTTTGGAAAACCAAGTTGGATATTTTCTTGGAGAAATTCATGAAGGATTTTGAAATGTATTTATGACATAGGAATTGTACATTGATTGAAACTAAATGAATAAACCTTATAATAATTACATGCACATAGCATGTATACTGATGGCACTGTTATATTTACAGAAAACCTGAAATCTGAATTGTAGTAATACCGTAATTTCTAAACCGGCAAACCAGAATAACTTCTAAAACTTACAGAACACGAGGCCATGGTGTTATCTGTTTAAAATGTCATTTTGCTTTATGTGGTTAGAAAATGTTTTTTAAAAAAAAAATCCTGCATACACAACAGATAGTGTCATCAGCATGCATAAAAAGAAAAAAAATTAAATATTATAACGTTTATTTGGAAACAGAGTCGAATAGTTCACTCAAGCAATGTTTATTATACATCTATATTTGAAATAATAATAATAATGAATCTCCCTTTTTATGTAGGAGAATTGTGCCAACGCTCAGACAAAATAAAAAGGAGTGCCAAAATGGTTTGTATTATTTATTACAAAAGTAAGAAAATACAAACTTTAAGCATTCTCATTTGATTAAAATTGTCAAAAGTAATTATCACATTATAATTTGTAAAGGAAGAATTAAGAATTATTAAATCCAGCATTTTGCAGTGAAATGAATTTGATATTCATCTATGATTTGGCAATTGATGGATTTATGAATTTTATATTTGCCTTATTTTATGGCATATACATCATATAGGTATGAATGACCTAATAATGTAAGACAACTTTATTTCGGATTTCGTCACGGAGGAATTTAATTGTCATTCTCCAGAATTTGGTCATCCGTTGTAGGGTGTGTTATCCTCAGATTCCTCTGGGAAGTTCATGGTGAGCACACCTGTAGACCACCAGCCCCGGGTCGTTAGATCTCCAGCATTTAATTTTAACTCTTCAAGTTCCTCCTGACTCATATAGTCCCGGGGGTCGGGGTTCAGAGGACACTGCAATACAGCGCTAAGACGAGGCCAGTTCCAGTCTCTCAGACCAGGATTGGTGAAGTCGACGAACGACACTGATCTCAGAATGTCTGGCATTCTACAGGCACCAGAGAATACAGGGACTACTTTCTTACTCCGGGCACCTGTGGAAAAGTTTCACCTACACTTACTGGCATCGATAATCGATAATTTCAATATAAAATTACAGTAATTAAAAATTTTAAAAAAATTAAAGTGCATCATACTTGAAGTAGACCTACCTGGTGATAGACAATGGGCAAATTTTAGCTGAAAGTCTGCTGCAGCACTTTTTAAGAAATCTTGAGACAAAATGACCAATGTTCTTCGGCATCTAATAAAAATGGAGTAACATTCATTAGTTGTTGATAATAAAAATTAAACAAAGTTTTAGGGATACTAGTACTGGTGTATTCATTTCTTCATTTATACTTTATACACCAATACATAATTAGAAAGCTGTTAATCAAATACTTAAACAGTACATATATATATATGCGATGTAGATACTAGTATGAACCTTGTTGCGATCATATGTGCACTGATTTCATAACGAGCTGTTCCCGGTAGGTCGTCTCTCCACGGAATGAAGAGTTTCATGTTGTATGGCGGGGCTTCAAGCTTCTCCGCCATTTCCTTCACAAACTCTAAATCCTTTCCAGCAGGGTTGTATATTACAAAGGCATCGTAGTATAATGTGTCATCTATAGACAAGAGAAAGATATCATTATGATGCATTTAAATAAGACGCTGCTTTATTAAGGTATACCATTCTTATATCAATAGAAAATTGGGGGCAGCAATTGCTAATATTTGTACATGTATCTATAAATTGACACCGTCTTTAACTGAGCTTATTTGAATCCTATGCTTATATTAGCACGAAGGCCTATAGTGATTTGAAAAAATAAAACAATTTGAAGAAAGTTGAGACCTTATTAAAGCCATGCTGTTTTAAAGAAAGGAATGGTTTTGTGGCTTTGTGAAATTTTGACTTCTGTAGTCTTTTTATACTGCAATATTTAAAAAATCTTAACGAGAATTTTGCAAACTACTTCTTCGATTTAATTTAAACAATATTTTATTATGATAAACATAATTGGATTCCACACTACTATATAACTTTCCGCAATACAAGGTCAAAAATAAAAAAAATATTATTAATATAACATTGAAAAATATAAATATATACATGCATATATTCAGTAGAAATGTATCTTGACAAGGCATATTAAGGAGAACAAATATATATTGCTAATTATTTGAATTTATATTTTAACATTATATTATATATAATTATTAAAAAAAACATAAATAGGTTTTGGTGTATGAATTGAAAAACAAAAAATGTATACCTTATATCCAAACTATAACTTTTTCAAAAAAAAAAAAAAAAAAGAATTTTCATTGGGCTCTGTGAAGAAAACTGACAAGCTTAGAAATATTATTGCTTTAAATAAAACATTATATTTATATAATTATCTGTACAATGTACAAACAGAAACATCTCCTTATATGGGTTGATATCCTCTATTAAGACAATGTATGCATTACAAAAATATATATCTTATAAAAGTAATAAAAAAGAATCTTTTGATGAAAGCTGGAGGCCATTGACTGATTTATTTTCTTAACCTTTTTCTCTGTCTCTCTCTCTCTCTGTCTCTCTCTCTCTCTCTCTCTCTCTCTCTCTCTCAATGCTTTTCTTTTTGTAAAAAAGTTTTTGAAAATGCAATAAATTAAAAAGATATATTTTAAAAATTATTATATATAAAAGGTTAGATTAGAAACATTACTAAAAAGACAATTTTTGGACTATTATTCTCTGATATAAAACATATTTAATTAGAAGTATATTCAAGAGAAAAAATAGAGCACAGCGATAGAATTTTAGAAATAGATACCTATTCCTCTCCTCCTTTCAGAACGATAATCATTATCATAGGGATGATTTTTTGCTTATAAAAATGCATTTAGTTGATAAACAAAATCAATACTTACATACGATCAATTTAAAAACAATGTAAGGTTTTGACAAACAGTTAATTAAACAAGAAATTATATATTCCACGGATTCGTTTAAACTCATCATTATGCGGGTTATGTGGAAACAATGAGTAAATGCAGTCATATTAGTCAAATGCTTATGGATGTTTTAAATACTACTATACGGCCATTATTTTCACACTGAGCTGTCTACGATTTCCCCATCATGACACGACAGGGGATGCTCACTCCTCCATGGAATCAGAACCCATCTCATCCAATCTCTGATGTTTAAGAAGTCCTTGTTTGCTCTGCTTTGACTTGTATTGTTTGGATGATTTTTTGAGCTTAAATGCTGTTTATTATCTCCTTTTTCATTTATTTTGTTCTATAAGAGATTTTTTTTAAAAGATTTTATTTACCAAGAATGATAACGTTTAGTTTCAAACATTTTATGCTAAATACTTGAACGTACAGAATAGTGTTATCTAGGCTATTTCATTAAAATGCTTAAATCTTAATGACACAATTTACGCAATACTGAGTGTACAAGATCTATATGTTCTTCAAAACTGATACAGAGAAAGACATAGAGTTTGTTCCCCATCAAACCGACTTTGTCCCTACATCAGAAAAGAGCTGAAGTAACTCAGTGAATTACCTTTGGTTTTGACGTCCTGGATAGTCACTAAGGTGTCTTTTTTATCTGCTATTTCATGTGGTGTTGGTGGTGGAGGGCCGGGAGATACTGTAAAATATAATGAAAAAAGGTGAACATAGTGAACGAAGAGCGATCTAAAAAGTACAAATCTAAAGAGGACATAAAACACGACCCCGTGAAAATTTAAGAGGTAGGCTCAATCTTCCAACATTTTTTTTTTCTAATTCTAACAACCAAAAAAAGCATTTCATTGTATAAATAAATATTGCATTGCTTTGCCGATAATTTTGATCTTTCAAAGCAACTTTATTGTTAATGTCACATTTGAATATTCTTATCCTTGCATAAGACACTTCAAAACTTTAAAGTAAATCAAGAAAGTAAACATTTTTTTTTCTTTAATTATTTTAAGATTAAGGAACTATTTTATCCCCATGTATATACTTTTTAAACCACACAAGAGATGACTAACATTATATTAGAATTTGAAATGTAATAACAAAAATAACTCACTCTTTGGGTCCTGAATAACAGGAATGTCCTTGTGACAGGCTTTATAACGGTCAATATCTTTTTCTGAAAAAATTATTTTACCCTTTGCATCTAATGCTTATGCAAATGCAAATACTAAGGTAGTATTCACGACATTTTTTTTACCAATCAACTTACTAGAAGAGATTTAATTTTAGAAGCAAATTTTGTAAACAATGCCGAACATTGCAGCATTAACAGTTTGACTAGAAATTATTTTTTTTAGTTTTTAATCGAATTAGACAAATGATGTTAACCTTTACTAGTATACTCATCAACTCATAAGATATTACTCATCGTCAAATAAGGCAGTGACTTTGATGAGATTCTTACTTATGAGATGGGCACACTCGGTTATGACGTCATCAGCTCTACCTATCGTCTGCAAATGTTTAATGAGATTGTCTACTGTGGGTGATAGTTCAGGTTTTGTACCCCACTGATATAACACTTCCTGAGTTGGCTTCCTCTGTCTCTGAAAATTTTTAATGTCCTGAAAGTCGAAGCCAATTACTTCCGCAAGTCCTTGATAATCATTTGAGTAGTCTCCCGTTACAAATCCTTCTGGATCCAAGAAACTCCCGAGTTTGTTTCTAACAGACATATTTAAGGCGTGAAGAGGAATGTTTCTGCCCTCTGAGATAAGCTGTTCAGCAGTTAGGGACATTTTTGGCTTATAAAGATATCACAGTTCTTTTGCTTTGCGTAAATAATTTTTACTTCAATTTTGCCATTAGTATAGAAAACATTGTGAATCCTTCATCTATAAAAAAATAAATTGACGTCTTTTAAAAAAAAAAATAAATTAAATCACAAATATAATTTTACTAAAACAAATGTGATTAGTTCGACTGATGAGAGAAAAGAGGAAACACTTGCAGTGCCTGAAATACCAGAACTAACAACAGGAAAACACTTGTGTGTACCAATCAAATCATAAATAGAGTTTTTCTAAGGGGTCAAAATTGATAATTGAGGAAAATACTGCATGGATAACATTCATCGACTCAGCTTAAACAAGAGTCGTAATTGCAATGGTAAAACTTAGCAGAGGAATTTTAGAATATGTAACATTGCAACAAATATACACATTTTAAGTACATGTACTATGACTAGTTAATATCCATGTGGTGCAATTTTATAGACAATTTGTTGTCCATCTCTTTGATAAAATTAAGGGCAAGTAAAGGCAAGCAAAGTGGTCTGTAAATACTTTATGTTCGTACTTGAAAGCAATACAAATGAAAGTATACGAACAAGTACAGGGTAAGTACATGAAATGTATATCATGATATACATGTGTAGCTATTGAAGGATTTGTTTATAATGATGTTACTAGTATTTCCATGGCACTTGTTGCAGTCTAACTCTGTTGGAATAAATCTGAAACAGATCTTGCACCCTTCCTCCTGTAATAGTGATGGAATAATTCCTTTAACATTAGCAACGTCTTGAGCTAAACCATGAGTCACTAGAGTTGAAAATGTAACGAGCAAGACATTTTATGTAACAAAAAGACAAAGAATTGTGTTAGTTTTATTTTATCAAGCAATCAAATCTATATGCCTGGAATAAGATATCTGAACTGTACCTGGTCCCCGACTAGGTTTTGTCTTATCTCATTGTACAAACATTTTTTCAAGTCTAAATATACTGGTCTCAATCCTATAATAGGCAGGTATGATCGAACAAATAGCATTATCGTTATCATTAACCGATAGCGAAAGGAGTAAAACGTTAGTACATACTTGTTCATCATCTGTTGTCGTCGGCTATTTTGTGATAATCCTTCATTCAATTAGTATTTTCAGTTGTGTTATGTTTATACGGCTTGTTGTATCTGTGACCCAACTTCCTTGTTGTTTCAAAGGGAATACCCAGTCAGTGACGCATGTGTCTTATTTTAAACCCTCTTATTTAAATCCCCCATCGAAAGACGCAGTGACCCATTTCCAATATACATTAAAATCTGAAGTCGCTGTTGAAAATTATTTTGTGCAAAAATATGATCGGCAGCGAGTCTAAGATACAGTATAATATATGTGCCAAAACAACATAAAGGATAAGATCAGTCAAACTATACACGCAATTTTAAAGGGTTTGTTCAATAATGAATGAAAAAAAACCTCTCAAGGCCCCTTGTAACACGAGGGATATATGAGGGGAAATGCTTATCATTCAAAATATTATTACTCAATCATAAAGTAAAAAGCATATCGGTTAGTTTATCCGATCAAAAATGTTTTATTCTAATAACTAGAACACTTTCACTGGAATAACATATTGAAGACTTATTTTTTCCTTATTTTTAGAATTAAGTTCCCTTTAAGTGTGATGTATTGATAAAGTATGAAAGCAGTTTTGGCACCCCTTTTCTCTCTATGGGTAGTTTTTCTTCCTTGTTCCAAATTTAAATCCATTTCGATTGGCTGACATCGTTTTAAAACCTTTTTTTGTTGTCTTTCATGGGTGCCAGGGTATGTAATACTTACAGGTAAATGGATATGTTGTGACCAATGCTTTTACGACATTAAAGAATACATGTTAATGGTAAAATTATGATAAGGGTTATGTATGAAAACAAAGAAAACATCTTCTAGAAATTAAATATATTCTGAAGGCCAGTAAATTGTTTTACCTACTAGTATTTTCTTTGCAGAAATTTGAGATATTTCAATTTATGTACATGAATACGTATAATAATTGGTAATTTGTGTTCCCTTCGTTTCATGAAGTATTGTTTTCCTCGACGGAATAGCTAATTGTAATGTTAAACATGGTTATATCACATACAATTATTTAAACAATGTTTTTGTGTACAGTAGAAGCTGTCAAAATGCTGTTTGACAGTTAAATTCCTTAATTTTAATGAATATAACTGCAGCATAAAGAACTAGAAGGCACTCATATAAAATATCGACATTCCCCTCAGTATTATAAAATCTTTTAGGTATTACAACTATACAGGCATGAATGTAAACTTTCCTAAGCACTCCAAAGTCGCCTTTGAAATGTGATAAAAGCTCAAGTGGATCCTGAATCAAATGTGAAATATCCTTATGACAGGGTTTGTAATGACCAATGTCTTTTCTAGGTAAGAGAAGGTATACTTGAAATGAAGAAAACAGAAATTAAAAATATGTAAATGAAAAAGAATGAAAACAAAGAATAGAACACAAAAAGTGGAAATTTAAAAAATAATGTGTCGTACATATTTTTTTTATTTATCGAATGCATCACAATACCGATACTGAGGTATACTGACATCCCTAGACAAACATTGCAGACCTAGATTACCGAGTATAATAATATATGGATATAACAAACAGTATTCAAGCTCAAAAGTCCACAGTATACACTGTACAAATACACTATACAAATCGGGAGCAGAACAAACATGGACCTCAGAGGTGGGATTAGGTACCATGGCGGAATGAGCATCTCCAACTGATTGGTCACGCCCGCCGTATGCAATCTATAGACAATATAATAATGGTGTAACCATAAGTATAAAAAATGTCATTCAGCATTTGACTTGATAAGTTACAGGCATATTTGCAGAAAAAAAATCATTGTATCGACTGTAAAACTTACAATATGACTACTTCAGACAATACTGTTGCCATTCCTGTTTCCTACAACCTTGTTTTTTGACCAGCTTATCTCGTTTTAATATCTAAAAAATTGTTCATACATAAAAGCATGCTCTTGCGAATCAAATCAAATGAGAAACATAAATCTCATATGTAGGTGATAAGGGTAAAATGTTTATTGCTACAAGTAGGTCTTTCAACTGCTGCTAGAGTTCGATATTAATTAAGAACGATAACTCCATGTCGGAACATGTTTTGAGCAGGTCCGAGGAATCTTATTGTATTGAAGCAAGTCACTTTTTAGCTTTTCCCAAGTGTTTCTTCGCTGTTAGTAGAATCCTTTTGTTTTAAAAATTAGCACTAATGTTAATTTTACTTACCATGTAGTTGCAGACCCTGATAAATTACAAAGAAGTAAAAAAATTAATTAAAATATGTGAAATATACCCCTTCTAAATTTTAACCTGGTTATATTTTCATACTCAGTCGTTGATGTCCCTGGCATACTGTACTAACTAGACAGTGATTCCTTAAATATTTTTTTCTTCATAACAATCGTCAAAGAAAGTCAAAAATCTTGAATACAGTCCGTTCCCCATTCATTTGATCCCATTATTTCAGGTAGAGTGAGATTATTCACCTACTTTTGGTCAAAACGTTTGTGTACAAAACTATGTAAGGAATCCTTTTGTGTACATAACAATACCGACTGAAGCAGCCTATATGTCTTTCATATAAATGATAACTCATGATTAAAGGTAGAATTTTTTTGATAGTTTCATGTACCTAAAACTAAAAATTTATCTAGCAATATATCATGTGTGCAACTTGAAAAATTAGTTGGAAGGCCTACTACAAGTAAAGGAAGCTGACGATTGTAAAATTAACGTCAAAAACTTTAAGATTGATGGTTAGATACTATTGAAGAAGCTTTTTTCTAGTGAAATATTCAAGTATGAGACATATGTGTCGGACTTTCTTGTATCTTTTATTTCACGCTCAATGGAATATATCGAGTCGATGTATGGAATTGAAGTATCTATAGTTCATTAATTATACGTCGTCTATAGCTATATATCGAATTTAAGACCACAGCAAGTAAGTTTTTTCTTCTCATGTATAAGATTTGAATAAATTCTGTTCCATATGAATACAAAAATAAATCTGCATATATATAATGGGTACCATGGACATTCCAACATATTGTTGGAAGACCTGATCACGAAAAACTAAACAGATATTGTCAATCGGAACCTTGATCAACTTCTGAGCACTTGTGTGTACTTCTGAATGTTTTGAACAAAATAAACTTTGCAAGTGGACAACGACAAGATAAGTTTATTTAAGAGTACATTTGTATTAAAAAAGCAGCTCTCTTTGATGTAAATAAAATCTGTATTTCAATTTATCGTGTGGGATGGTTGTATAAAGCTTAGAAATGTCATTTGTTTTGTGAATTTGATTTTAGGAAAATGTTGCAGTACAGTACCAAATTTTTTAAAAGTTCCTTGGAATTTTTAAATATCCGCATCTGGTTAACACCAATTCTTGAATAAACTGTTGTACAGTACTCCTGAAATTTCTCCTTTACGGCTGTAAATATTTTACTATAATTTTAGAGAGGAATAAAGAAGAGGCGCTTAGTAGAACATTTTCAGTAATGGCAATAGGGATAAGCAATATGTTAACATGAAAATATTTTTTTTTAAATGTTGCACATTGAAATTAAAGCTTTCCTTCTACATGAATATCATGCCAACGGTAATTGATATGAATACCAACTTAATCTGACACAAATTCATAAGTTGATAACATACACAAACTTTATTTTTTAAAATGTATATTAAATATGAAATATATGTGTATAAACGATAAAATTTCTAAAAGAGTTAATTTCATATATATGTAATAAATGGATAAAATAGCATTTAAAAGAAATGAAGATCATACATAGGTCATTAGTTGAACACACGGCAAGCAATAAAATCCAAGGCCTTATACATATACAACTGCGTATATATCACACAAAACATGATATAACCAATAAAAAAGTCTCAAGAGGTAATATTTATATCATATACCTGAGTATAACAAACCATATTTATACTACAGTTCACCAAACTTATTCTAAGTAAACCAAGTTACAAGTTAAAACAACCAAATGTAAAACGCATTTTGTTTTGAATTTTCCAATTAATATTATTATGTCAGAGTCCATTGGCGTTTGAATATATGGGCAGATGTGTCCAAAATAATATCAGGGAGATTAGCGCCCTCTTTTAATCCTTGTGTTAGATCCGTCCCTGTGTTGATCGTGAATGCCTTGTTAAGACGTTTCCAGAACCATGGCCTGGTATCCTCTTTGTAGTATTGAAGAGTGCACATATATCGTAAGGCCTCGGGAATCTTGCATCTTTCCAGGCAAATGGGAATCACGCGATTATGTAGATTTGCTGTAATGATAAACGTCAAAAAGAAAATTTTACGATCGCTGTATAGTAATAAAGAGAAACAAGAATAAGTCCTTAGACTAGGAAATACTCAAGTTTTAAATAAAACCCAAAGAATTAATCATTCAAGTAAATAATTCTGTTTAATGGCACATATGTCTGATTTTTTTCATAAAAAAAAATAAGTTCAATAATTACCGTATATCCGGAATTTTCGTGTGTTGAAGATTTTGCGAAAAAGGATAGATCTGCACATTTTAATTTTGCATAAAATATTTTTACGATATAAGAAAACCTTTAAATAATAGTTATATTTTTATGACACACAAACAATAATAAATTTTTGCTTGTTTTATTTTTTGAGAATTAAAAATTATCGCAAAAATGCGAAATACTGATCATCGCGAAAACCCGGATACATGTATACGATGCGTGATTTTCAAATGAAACCTTTAAAACTTATCATGCTTGTTATCTTTTTCTAAAAAGGAAGAAGATGTCTGAAAATGTTATAGAAGTAAGAGAAGTGGTGCTGATTCTGAATACCTGGAGAGAGGGACGTAGCATATTTCAGCTGAAACTCGGCGGATTGACTTCCAGCGAAATTATTCGACAGTACAACAATACACTTTTGGCACCTGAATTTGAATTATATTTTTAATTCATTATTAAATGTTTTTAAGTTTATGATTAGCTTCCTACTAAAGATTTATTAACTGAAAAGTTTTGAGTAGAATTTTTTTAAGCAATGATTAGCCCCTTTTTACAAATTTGAGTTGGAAATGCTTTAAATTACAATATTGATGATGTATTTCCATCCGCTGTACTCAATATAAACACTTTACCACCTACTTGTTTTCAATGAGATCCGCCGACACGTAGTGGTCTTCATGAACGTAATCCCTCCAGGGGATAAAGAGTTTAAGATTGTAGGGGGGAGCTTCCATTACGGACGCCATTAATTTAACAAACTCCAGATCGGTCCCCACAGGATTGTAGATCACAAAGGCGTCGAAGTCCTTTACAGTCATTCTACTGCACTATTGATAATTACAAATAAGATTCTATACTTTTATATAAAGGGACATTGTCTAAATCTTTCTAAAACAACGAGCAATATCAATGAAAGAGTTTATATACATAAAATATTCAAAATCTGGAAATTTTTATGAAAGCCATATGAGTATCCTATTTAAAGTAATGTGTATGTATAAATTCCTGCGGTGTTTCCACACAGGGAAGTTATTATATACAATGTATCCTCTATCTCACGTCACCCAGGAAGTATTTCTATTGAACTTATTACTCTGATAAAATATTTTTACTTTATCAAACAGAAGTACGAATCTAATTTTATTTCTTCAAAATCAATACTTTTAACAAAGTTCATTCATGATTTGTTTCGATAACATTCTGAAGTTTGGGATAAACAATTGCATCGCAAATTTTATTTTTTAACCCACCCATTACCTTTTACTTCGTTTTCTATTTAACATAAAAAACAATGGTACACTGTAAAAAAAAATAACTAGTTAATGTCACGAAGAAAACTAGTAGATTCACTGTCCATACAATCACTACCTTAATAGTAGTTTTACCAGATATTGGTATATTTACTAGATAAGATTAGAAAATTTAGAATTGGTGAGTAACTTTCACTAGGTATCTAAGTATCTATACGACCCCCACTCCACAACTTACTATCTTAACCAGTAAACTGAAAGTTTACTAATCACGACCAACGCTTTACGAAACACACTAGTTAAATTCACTAGGTTTTTCTTTCATTGATATTATTGGTAATATAGATTTCCTTCCTTATCCAAATTACATAATCGGGAGAAGTGAATGACTGGCTTTAAAGGTCATATTCCAGGATGTCTGGAATTTTAACTTTAATATAAAAAAAAATAAATCAAATATCCAGAATTTGAGACAAGGCCAAAAACATTAATTAAAAAAAAATCATTGACTTTGTGTTTAGTTTTAGTTGTTTTACGATAATCAATAAAGCATTTGCGTAAGGAAAAAAAATTACTGGTCTTGTAATTCTTTGATTACGCATGCTGAGGATATATAAGTTAAAGTTACGGGGTTATTGAAAGTCAACATTTAACTAATTGCTAAATGCATCGTTTAGTCGCTTCTTGACGGATTTCCCCCCATAATTATCAGGCTTCCAATTTGATACTAGTAACTAGTAACCTCGTTTACGTGATCAAGAGGGATCGACATGGGATGTTTCCTACTATCTGATTACACATCAAATGTCTCTAAATATCAGTGTTTTGTCGTATTCGCTATTTATATTCTTCAATAGATCACTGTTCATGATCGTATAATTTTGATGTGTCTAGAAAATTAAAACTGTTAATATACCATATATCTGATGCTTCATGAAGTCCCAAAGAGTATGAAAAAAAAAAAAATTAATTAAAATGTTTTTTTTTTTTTGAATTAATATAATGATTTCATACAAATCAATTTTGCGCAAGTTATTTTGACGATGCTTGAAGAAAGCTGAAAATCTTATGAACACATACTAAGAAATGAATACCCAAATTATTACAAAAAAAATTCGAGCTCTCTTAAAATCGAGCATTTTTTTTTTAATTCTACATGAAGAAATGTAGACTTATATGGCAATTGTTGAAAATGTTGGATAAAAAGACGAATGAATGGCAAATCATAAAACTGAATTAGATAAAGCCCCGATTTAAACCATTGTTTTGTAACAGCTCTTAAATTAGACCAATAATTCTTTGTGAGGTATTTCTTATTCTTCAAAAAGTAACATATACCCGACCTATCAATTAATGAAGACATAAGATGCATTACAAAATAATGGTATGAAAATAATAAATGAATACCGTGTATCTAAAACTGTAGATATCTTACCTTCATATGAAAAATGATAATTACAGAGAGAACGATCAGGAAATTCAGAGCGCTATTGATAACCTTTTGTCCCTGTTTAAAGTCCTTTTTTAAATTATGGTAACGAAATAATTAAATTAAATTGATTTGTTTTAAAAGTTTGGTGTGGACTGAACTTTCAAATTTAATTTACTTTTAACTTACATGGGCCTACCGTATATTTAATCTTTCCAGGCTTTTGTATTACACTTATAATGTATACTGCTATAGCTAATGCATAAAAATAAAACTAGCATTTCCCAGAAACCCAATTTCAGAAAATAAGATTTCGTCCAATATTGAATACTTGCTTATCAACTTATCAAACCTCGTCCAAACACAATAAATCTACCTGAGTTTGTATGAAGCTCTGTATTCATATATTATACATGCATGCACAGATAAATGGTTGAATGAATAATTAGATTTTCAGTCAATAATGTATAATACTTTCTGAAATTCGATCTTTCGATTCTCAGTATAAAATCTTAATATGATAAGAGTTATAGTAGGGGGAGGGGGGTATTAGCATGTTTTCATAAGAATAACCTGACTCGGATGGCATCTGTAAATAGGTCTATCACGTTACTGAATAACAATCTTAGCTAAATGATTTTTAAACTAATGTATTGTCTTATCTCTGTATACCTTATCAAAGTATTCCAGATATTGCGACCTTGCTGTTACCAGAATATTGAAAATACACATGTATATTAAATTGCATCAATTTTAAAATACAATTTTGATGCTTGAGAATTTAATCCCACTCCCATTTTCTTGAAGAAGAAAAATATACCAGAATCCAGGGTAAGAATATCAAACTTTTGTTAATAATATTCTTTATACTTATGCAAAGATGTTTGAAATAAAGTATGTCGTGAATTTCTTTGCTTTATAAGCTTCAAAACTGAACCATAAACCTACGAAACTAGGATCAAGATTTCCTCATAGTGATACGTTTTGAATTTTATTTCATCTCTATAGTAATGTTGTAATAAATTTTGTGGCCCAATCACGTGATAATCTAAAACCAATCAGATAACGCGTTATATAGAATAAGTATAATGAGGTATAATAAATTTTATTGTTTCAATACATATTTACAATAAAATATAGAAATGATTAGAGCAATTTTAAGAGATATATTTAGATGATTTTATTTTTAACAGTTTACATATTTTTAAATTTTAAGTCCGTCGGATGGGACATTAAATGGTGCCCCGTGTCAAGGATAACAACCCCCTTGGCACGCAAAAGATCATTTCTCTGGAGTTCGATAAAGAGTAGGCTCATTGGGGGCCACCAGAGAAATCATTAATATTTACCCGCCGAAATATGGCTGAAATATTGCCGACTTGGCGTTAAACAATATAAAATCAATCATTTTGAGCTAGATTACTTTTTAATCCTCATATTTCATGAATATTCACATTTTTTATCTCAAAATCTCTGAGTTATGGTGTTTTAGTCCTACACAGTACATCCATTATTTCACAAACTATGATCCTCGAGTTCCTTTGTGAAAAAAAGTAATGTAAAAATGTCTGAAATAATGCACACTGCAATTTATTCTATTTCATATCACATGTGGATCTGTATTATCACTTTAAAGACATAACTTCACGAAGGAAAACCTGAATTAGTTTGCAGTTAAGAGGGAAAATAATTTAATTTATATTTATATAATGAAACAGTTAATTACATGTAAATGACAATTAGTTTTTCAAGATAGAAAGCTCTTGTTCGTCTGTCATGAAGCTTGTTTAAAAAGACTTTGTCTCTGAAATGGTAATTACCCTTAATCTGTCTGACCTCAGAATATATCCTTTGTCGTAGATCAATACCCAGAGCTACTGAAGTATGAAGATTAAACAGTAGGAGTAGAAATGAAAAAATTGTGTAAGGTTTAGAGATGAAATTGCTCAAATGCCTCGGAGCAAATTATTTGTGCAATATTAGCAAGAAATTAAAATTTTACCACAAAGGAAAATGAAAAATAATCTGTAAAGGGGACACCCGGGTTCGAACCGGGGACCTCTCGATCTGCAGTCGAATGCTCTACCACTGAGCTATATCCCCTGCTGATATACGTAAAGCGTTAACACGTTCAATTATACACTGTACATTCTAAAAATCGATAAGGAGTAATTCCATGTAATCTCTATTTTTTCGCTTTTTTTAAATTCAGATACATGTATATTGTTTGAAAGTTTAACATTTTGGATTTTTTTTTTAAAATCATTGTCTCAGAATGTACTCAGATTATTTCTTATTTTTTCCATATTATTTCATTCAATAAAAGATAAATATTATGAAGCTCATATACAAAGGTGTCCATTACATAGCTGTTGAATATGCATTCAGATAACTGTAAAAAGCACTTTAAAATGTCTTATAATGCACTTTTTTTCAATGATGATATTTAAGGGGACGTAGGAATATTCAAAGTAGTTTCTTTCTCCGACGTCATCCATTAATTTTTTTTTCTTTTGAATGGCTAGACAATTTTTTTCCTTTTTTTTCTTTATCAAATGAAAATACGAATTTATTTTAAATTTGTGAAAAGATTTCGATTTTGAACTGCAATTGAGACTTAGTATCTTCAAAATCAATAGTTGTATATAAAGTTCAGTCGTGAGTTGTTATAATATATAATATAACATTTTTTTTTAAATTTTGGGATGAATATTATATTAAAAGTTCTATTTTTCGAACCAACCCGTTACCTTTCATTTTGTTTTCTACTGTAGATGAATAAAAGCAAATATATAGTGTTATTGGTAGTATAGCCTTTTTTCTTCCTTATCAAAATTACATAATCGAGAGAGGTGAACGGCTGGCTTTAAAGGTCAATCTCCAGGAGGTAAGGATTTTTATCTTTTATAAAAAATCATCTGAAAACGGGGACATTTCCAAAATCGCATCTTAAATGGCGGTAGAGGTTCTGATTCGTTTATAGTTGTATTACAACAATCTCTAAAACAAATTTGTAATAAGAAAAAAACCTTACCGATCCTTAAACTACCTACCTGATTGCGAAGTTATTAATAAAGTTGGTGTTTTACTAGGCCAGAATAAAGTCGTTTTTATGACCTTGTTTGCAACCACTACCTATCATATGAATATCTTAACTGACATGTCTCCAAATAATTGTTTGATTTCCCTTTTGACTACAAATAACTCCGTATACATGATCAAGAATAATCAACAGGGGATGTCTACTCCTCCTAGGATATCCAATTACATCTCTCTTGTTTCTAAAGATTTGCGTTTTCCTCTTTCCGCAATCGATATTCTTCACTGTTTATACAATTTATTATTATAACCTTCCATTTTTATTTGTCGAGAAAATCCTTTGAGAACGTCCTAGAGCATTCTCTATGTATGAACAATTTCTAAAACGAGGTAAATTATTGACAAACAAGTTGATGAAACAAGAGTATCAGCAACCTCGTTTAAAGTCATCATTTCGTAAGTTCTATGGTCGATAAAGTGGCCTTGTCAGCAGATACAGTTTATCATTGAGTCAAATGCTGGCTGATGTTTTTTCATACTAATTGTTAGTCCATTATCTATACATTGAATTGACGACGAATTTTTTGATTATTTCCCGATCATGATAAGGAGCACACGACGGGTGTGACCAGTCGGCAGGGATGCTCACTTCTCCATGGCACCTGATCCCACCTCTGATGTTTTGGAGGCCCGTGTTTGCTCTACTCCTATTGTATTGTTTTATGGACTTTGATATTGAATACTGTCCATTATCTCCATATGTTTCATATTAATATGATGCTTCAAGAAGTCCCAAAAGAGTATTTAAAGCTCAAATGAAAGTGATTTCAATTTATATGATATCAGGAGTTTCAACCTAATCAGCTTGCTTGAAGAAAGCTGAAAATCTCTGCCATAAACATATAATCATATGTACAGAGTTTACTAAACTAGGAATACAACGAGGATGATATATATATATAGTTTGAACTCTTTTGAGATGGAACATATTTTTTAATGTTACATATATGTACAATTGTACAAAATCTGGTATGATTTTTCTGATAGGGGAATGAAAGGCAAATCATAAAATTAAATGAAAATGGTCTCAGAATAAAAACGTTTTTTCTTTAACAGCTCATACATTAGATCAGTTCCTTTTGTAATATGATTTATTCTTCAAGAAATAACACCCCGGCCTATTACTTAATGAAGATTTAAGCAGCATTATAAAACAAATTGGTCTAACTATAATAAACTAAACTTTAAAAACAATATGTCCTACCTTGATACGAAAAATAATCATGACAGAGAGAAAAATTGATGGATATTTTCACCAAAAACACTTTTGATAACCCTTTGCCTCTGTTTTATGTCCGTTTTATTCTGGTGACGCAATAATTAAAATAAATTAATTTGTTTTAAAAGTCTGCTATCGATTTAACTACTTTTAAACTTAATCAAAATTTTAAAAAATACTTTTAACTTACATAAGCCTATATTTGATCTGTCTGGGCTTTCGTATTACAATTATACGGCTTAAGTTAAAGCAAAACTAGCATTTCCCAGAAACCAAATTTCAGAAAAATAAGATTTCGTACAAAATTCAATACGCGTAAGATGATACTAATTTATCACCTTGTAAAGATTGGGAATTGGCCGTTCAAAGACATTTTGTCGAGGAGCGAATAAGTTGAAAGACATAGATACCCTAATTCTTTAGTCATGAAACTGATTCAACCGTATAATAAATCAATTATTCTAAATTGTAATAGGGAACACTTCAAACTGAAACTAGTATTTGTTACCAAATTTAATAACAACTTCTGATTGTAGAGCCATTTGTTGACATATATTTATAAATCAGACCTGACTCGGATGTTATCTGTAAATAAGTTTTTCACGTTATTGAAGAACAATTTAAGCTAACTGATATTCAAACTAATGCATTGCCTTATCCCTTTCTACCTTATGAAAAGACATAGTTTTTCGTATATTGAGAGCTCATTATCACCAGAACATTAAAAATATATTAAAGTCCACCAATTTTGAAATGCAACTTTAAGGTTTGACAACTTAATCTAACACCTTTTAAAAAAAATCAAAAAGGGTGGGTGCGAAATTTAGGGTAATAAGAAGTTTACAATTTTTGTTAATAATGTTCC